GTCAACCAAAAATCAAACATGCACACACCCAGGATCAAGTCTTGACCTTATTGAAATCAATGGGAGTATTGCCACTGACTTCAATGGATCAGATTTCCTCCCTACACAATTAATTAAACAAAGTGTCCTTTAAATTTGGGTGCATCCCAAGATCACCCCACTAACCTACACTATCTTCCATGCTTTCACATAGCAGCATGAAAATGGTGGACAGGAATAAAATATTTTAGGTGGAGGGAGTGGCAAAATATACCATCTCTGCTTGTTACGTTGTTTTAGCCTTCTCTGAGGCTGGAACTGACCCAACTGCTGCTGGTTCAGGGGTAGGCATAGTCTTTGGGTATAGCTCTCGGGTATGAAGTACACAAGCCCAGGGAGCATTGTGCTTTCAGAGACTCTTCTCTGATTGCCTTAGGCACAGTTCACTCCTGCTTTTCCCCTTGCTCCAGAGGACAGGTTTTTGCAGCTCACCTAGGTCCAAGGTAGCACATGGAGAAGTCCGAGGGTGGTTCTTGCGCCTCCTTCCTTCCCTCTACAGGTACATCATCTACCTAGCTCTCTGGGATCTGCTGCGCTATAGGTGCAGCAGCTATTGCCATGGCACCTTCTGAGGGGGAAACTGCCCGTCTGTCTGCCCCACCAATGATGCTAAGAGCACTTAGAGGATGTACCACATAGTTCCTCAGCACATCCCTCCCGCCCTGCTCCTGGAACACACAAAGACAGAAGCAGAACCAAACGGCTGCTGCAGTGCAGTGACTTTTCCTGCCACTACTGACACCACTTGTTGTTGCTCTGAGTGCTGGGGATGAGCCAAAGTCTTGCCCCAAGAGCCAAGAGATACTGGGAAGCAGAAGCAATGGGGAATTTATTTGTGAGGAAGAGTATGGGACTGGCAGATTTTTGGAGGAAGGCAGGAGTATGGGATTGGGGCAGTTTGTGGAAGGGGCAGTTTACTCAAGGAACAAGTTGTCTGCTGAGACAGAACATTGCTGAGGGCATGTCTACACTGGGAAATTATTTCAAAACAACTTATTTTGAAATAATAACTCCCAAAATAACTATTTCAAAATAAGAGTTATTCCCCGAAGAAAGCGGGAGTACAGATTTCTAAATAACCAACCTGTTATTTCGAAATAACAGGCTTGGTAGTGTGGACGCTCCGCTTATTTTTTCAAAATAAGGGAGGTTATTTCAAAACAACTCCCTAATGTAGACCAGGGTTTCAGGAACACAGTTGGTAAAGTCTTGGAAGCACAATAGAGGAGTCGACTGAGATTACCCCCCACCCTTCCATTGTGTTTACCTTCTCTCACACCATCTGATAACATTGCCATTGCTGTAGTTGCTATGCACTGGAGGATATAGCAAAGATATGAAATGTACCTATCACATAAAGTGAAATGCATTGTAGTGATCAGTTGTTGGCACTAATGAGGTCAGAGTAATGGGATGTCAGTTGTTATCCACCTCTCCCCCCACAACAGCAGCAGAATTAAGCTGGCTCACTTTTTATTGACTTGATTTAAAGCCCATTGAAGCCAACAGAAAGACTCCAATTGACTTCAGTGGGCCTTGATTCAGAGGCCATATACAGCATTTTACTGAGTTAGATTTCTGAAATGGATCTGTCTAAGGTTCCACAGGTTTTCCCAAAAAGCTGCCTATATACATGGGTTGATTTTCAGAAGAGCTGAGCAACCCAATATATTCCACAGATGCCAATGAAACATGGGCATGTTTAGCACCTTTGCAAAATCAAACCATTTCTATTTAGCTGCCTAAATTGGTATACAGGTACCTAACTTTGGGCATCTAAGTTTGAATGTTTGGGTTTGTGTGTGTGTGTATTAGTGTTTTTCTTTAAAAACTGGATTTTACTTACATGTAACATGAAATCCAGGAATTTTACTCATTCTAGGGCAAATACACTCACACACAATGGTGCAGGAAAATTTACTGTGTGATAAATAGAGATTGATAACCATGCATCTGGTACTACTGACAGCAGCATTACACACAACCAAAGAACCAGTTAAGATGTACCCATTACCCTTTAGTCTACTGAAAGCTTTTTGGAACAGTCCACATATAAAGTATTTCTGTTTGAGATTCAGTGCATGAAGATAGCAAACTTCCTTCTGTCTTTCTGTTGTACAATTCAAGAAGACCTGTAATTTCAAAAATCTAAGCATAACTTACCTCAGGAGGAGGGTACAAGTGACAAAATGGTTGTCCTGCATTCTGGTTACACAGCTTAATGGCATGACATACCACATCAGCATTTACTTTATCCTTTAACCTAAAGGGAAATAGTGCACAAGAAAGACTAGTAAGGTCTCCCGGATATTAGAAAATATATGCCACATCAATGGCAGGGCATCTATACAGAATACTAAGACGCATAACATTTTATTATGGTCTTTGAGCTCTGCTCACTGTAGTTGCGTGAATATAATTATTTTCTGCGATTGCATTCTACTCAGTATTTAAAACCAGATTCCAGGGAGAAGAAATCCTACATTTATACACTAATCAAATCTGTTATGACTCTGTACTCATTTTAAAGCAATCAGGCATGGGAAAAAGATTTACAGGATAAAGTTAATCCAGATCCAGTTGGGCTAGTACAAATTTTCAATCCTTGACTCAACAAAATAACTAGAAATCCTTCAAACCTCTAACCAGATACAAGTTGTCAGGACTGTTTCCTTCTTTGTGGGACAAGCCTCTGGGTTTATAGAGAATTAAATTAAGATGTTTGATTACTGAACTACTTAGTTCTGTAGATGGTCTCAGGGCTAGATTTAGTGGGGAGGGCGAAGCCCTAAGGAAGTAGAATGTAAAGCAAACATTCATTTAATTAATCTGAGCATTTGCAAAGAGGAATAAACTACCTACTTTTATGGAATTTGCATTAGTTGGTGGGGCTCCCAAGTGCTCAATCATGGTCAAGGACCAGAAGCAAGTAAAGGATAACATTTAGAAAGCCCATTAAGGTTAAAAAGGAAGTTAAGGAACAAGAGATTAAAATATTATGGCCCTTTAGATGATCTCCCACACACATAACCGATCCAAGAAATTTCTTCTACAGCCAAGTGGACTGAATTTCAAAAGTTAAGGAAGACAGTTGGACCTGATTTAAGATTTACAGATGTAAAGGGTCTATAAAAATGCTTAGCAGAAGACAAGAGCATTTATTTATTCATTCAGGTACAAGCTGTATGGGACTAGCGATGAGGCTTAGCTGTCACAGCTGAGCTGAGGACTGCTCACCAGGAATGGTATTTGCCAGGTAGGAGCTGGAGGAAGCGTAAGCAAGCAGGTTCCATAAGCAAGAGTCAGGGTCAGAGTCAGACTGGAGTAGGAGATAGAAGATAAGATAAGATAAGATAAGATATAGTGTTGCAGCAGACCAAAGTCTGCATGGTTGTCCAGACTTTTCTGGGATTAAATGGAGTGTTCAGCCAATCAGAAGTTTCTCAGGGTAACGATACTCTGAGACTCTTGGGAGGCACTTATTGCGGTGCCTAGTCTCCATTCTGTTGCCTGGCAGTGCCTCTGCATGCCGTGCCCGTGGCACACTGGGTATAGCAACCATTCCCATCTCTGCTGACCCAGGTCTCTGGGGTCTTTACAACAGCTAACTTCGGTCTATTGCCAAAACTACCTGCAAGAGTTATACTTGTTCTGATACTAATGGGACTTGAAAAGTAAAACCTTCACACTGACAATACATCAATGCATTAAGACAAATTCCTGAAAACAAGCCAACTTAAGATGAAAAATTAACACTTACAGTTTAATTATATCTGGTCCAAACATTTCAACTACCAAATAACAGAGGCCTTGCAAGTTCAGTATTTCTGGAAAAGACACATTTTTGAAAAAATGGAACAGAATTAAAGGTAGTTTTACAAACTCATGAAACATAGCAGGACCTGCTTGTATCAAGGTGAATATCAGGATATTTCAGAGATAGACGGACAGATGCTCAGTCAGTGGTCTGAGCACAGGACTGTGAATCAGAAAGTTCTTCTAACCAAGGTTCTGATTCTCCATGTGTCAGTAGGTGACTCATACAGAACTATTATGAGCATTCGTTAATGAATGTCTGTTAAGCGCTTTGAGGATGAATAACACAACATAGCTTTTAAGAATTATCACATTTATTATAGAACATCTTCTAAGCAGTTTAGAGACTACATAGATGTTATCTTACACTCTAGTTCAAAAAGAAAGCAGCACAGATAAATCAACATGCAGAAAAAGATATCAGAGTTAATATTACTGCTGGAATTACTTGGTGTCTTCAAGTATTTATGCAGGTAAAAAACTCATCTCTTTAGCACAGAAATACTTTTGCAATGAATAACAGAAGGAATAATTATACTTTAGCGAATAGCTCTTGTGTTCCTTTTTTTTCTGTCATCTTTCATATTACGGCCTAACTACTAACTAAAATCTCATTCTTAACAAATAAAAATACACATCAAAATAAGGTTTGTTAATTTTTTTTTAGCAACATATATACTGAAAAAGACAAACATATTCGCCTGGAGGGAAGAGCAGTCCACTGCTGTGAAAGAAACCTGAGTTTGAATCCAATTACAATCTAGTATTAAGGTCAGATCTTGTCATTCTCTGAAGGAATTGGAGTATTTCCTGCATGAGTTTTCTATGATTTGGACTCGGGCCTAATTCAGCAAAGCACTTAAACATATTGTTAAATGCATCTCTGTTCAATACAGTGCTTAAGCATAGGCCTAATCAGATGCTTAAATGTGCTGAAGTGGGGTGTACTATTCAACTGGGGCTGTAATGCCCATCTGTCTCCTGCATCTTGTAATCCACAGCTAAATATCAGTTTTTGCTTTCTAATGCGCAGTGAAGCTTGTTTCACAGCAAGACATCGAAATAAAGGTGCATTTACACAGGTAAATGGTAAACATGGCATAATACAGAAGCAAGAACAAAGCCCACAGCTCCTATTGACATCAGTGTAAAATCTGCCTAAGTGATGGGAGGAACCAGGCCCCAAAGGTTTAGCAGTGTAGCTGTGAGTGCCACGCCAACTGCCTCTTAATGATATAGTGTTGCTGGGAGCTGCAGGAGCTACTGTGGTTTACTCCTTGTTACCCCATGTCAAATATTTTATTTCAATCAAGTTATTAGCCCACATATTTGCCTCCTTTCTTTGCCACATATTTTCTTTCTATTGGATTTTTATAATCAATCTGCTGGTCAAAAATTGATCTCCTGACCAGAATGAGATTTTTACTATTGCCCTCCTGAAAGGGCATGTGCGGTGGAGAGCAGCAGTCTCATGTCTGCTATCATCACTGATTAAAAAGCCTATGGTAAAGTTAGCCAGCAAGCCAGCTGGCTCGTTGAAGAGTCCTATAAGGGAAAACAGCTGGCTTCCCCAACATCTCCCATGGTGGACAAAAGCTAACAGCATTCTCTAATGTTTCCCATTGAGGAGAAAAGCCAGCAGGTTTGTTCAATGTCTCTTGCACACGAGGCGATAACTGGCTGGTTTAATCCTGCTAGCAGCTAGGAGGAGGGGTTGGTTTCACTTGCCATCAACTCTAGAAAGCAGACACTGGAGCCATTTCTTTGCACGGAATTCTTTAGGAGCCTATGAATCTCAGCATATAAATATCCAATGGCATAACTAAACAAATAATGACTGACTCCAGGTGGGAATAGAAATAACATAAAACTGCCTTAGGGTAAATTCAGTCTTCTTGGATTGTACATATTACATTCAGCATTTGGCTTCAGGCAGTATTCCACAACCTCTGACCAATGTTTTATATTTATGTCCTCAGAATCAGTCAGTATTGTACAAGCACACATTTCCTGCTGTAGTGTATGCACACAGAAATCTTTTTTTAAAATACAGAAACAACCTTGCTAAGGAAAAGAGGTTCAAGTAAGAAGTGTTTATTTTATGAGGGAGAAGAATATTAACCTCTAAGGAAGTTAGATTAGACTAATAGAAACCACATGTTCTCTTTAGCTCCTCTGAAAACATAATTGTTTTAAATTAGTTTTGATTTTGTTATTCACATGAGGCTCTTCAAGCTTATATATTATAATAGAATTACTCCTTCAGCTTAAATTACATCATCTTCCTCAATAGCACTTGCTCCCTATGTGTATGCAAAACAACATGTATTGACTTGAGCAACAAGAGCAAATTGTTACTATTTTTTCTCTTGTTAGCTCTGCAGAGCCTATACCTTTAGAAGAGTGAGTTGAACTGAATTCTGGCTCATGCATCACCCATACAATTGTTAACTAACTTCTAGTCCTGGATCTAACTCTTCCCTCAAGGGAGAATAACAATAGCATCCATGTGCCTCAGTGAAGATAATGAGGTTGCACAGATGTAATTTTAAGAGGTGATGGGGAGATATATGTACAGAGGAAGGCAAAATTTAGCCTGTAGAATTATTATACTTGCAATGATATATGAACCGGAAAGCATGTTACTTAACCTTCAGAGTGGAGGGCAAGATTACAGGTCTGGCAGTTAAAACTAAATTTCATCACTTGTACACTGTACAAATTTGAGAATTAGCAGAACTATAGCTTCTCAACTTTTACAGAGCCTTTTTTTTAAAAGAAGAAAACTATACTTTAAAAAAGCAGTGTTGAGGTTTATAATTGAAGCTCTCTGGTTATATGTCTGTGATGTCTCATGGAATAGGAAACGATTGACTATCAGTGAATGACCTCTAGATAGCCCCTTCTTCTCCCTGCTTCATATGAGCAAATCATACCTTTGAAAGGACAGAATTATTATTCGACATGCATCCTCTATAAAACAATGGACTGAAGAGCCAGACATTAGCTTTTGAGAGATAGAATTAATAAGGCACTGTACAGAAAACATTTTAAGGAAGAATCCCAAATCATCTTTTTAAATCCGAAAAGCGAGAGACAGCATCAACTTTAGATTCATAAACTCCAACACCAGAGAGGCCCATTGTGATAAGCTGGTCTGACCTCCTGTAGAACACCAGCTATAGAACTTTCCCTGCATAACTCCTTGAACAGATGTTTTTAGAACAACATCCAAGCTGGATTTTAATATTGTCATTGATGGAGAATCTGTCATGACCCTGGAGGGGTAGCTCTTCTGTGAGCAGCGCACATCACCCTTCTCCCCGCAGCAGCATAGCACCTGTCTAATCATGATTGAAACTTGGCTGTCTATGCGAGGCTGCAGATTTGCAGAGTTAGGTATGCCATCAGCATGCTGCAGATTGTGCTACTGTTGCCTCTGTGTTATTTTTTAGTTTAGGGAATGAGGTACTATTCCATATTAGCACCATAGCATATATCTAGTCAATTTTTAAAAGTTACTTTACAGTAATTGAGTGTCTTACACCTGCCCTTCAGTCCCTCTGCCACTGTTGTGGCCTTACAGCTATTGTTTCCTATTTCAAAACTGCTTTCATCTTCCCATTTCTGTGTAAAAACTCACAGGAGAACTGACTGAAAGTGCTGACAAATATGCAAAATAAACAAACTAGGAGGGGTATTTTAATGCAGATGTCTCTGGGGTGAAATTCTGGCTCCACGGAAGTCAGTGGGAGCTGTCCCTGACTTTAGTGAGCCAGGATTTTACCCTTGATATCATTTACATACATTATTCCTGGGTATTGTAACAGTAGTGGGTAAAAAATGTCAGATTCAAGTGTATTTTTAATCAACAATGAAATGCAGTGATACCAACATAACATATAGTGTATTTGATATTTACCAGGTAGATAGTTGCAGAGTCTTTCTAATGCTTCTTTTGCAGTACTGTTGTGAAACATTGCAAGCTGTTCAATGACTGATACCACAAGCACACACCCTGCAAACAACCAAAACCAAGAAATCACCAGGTCATACAAACTGTGTCTAGCTAAATGGACACGAACCATTGGGCATTTTGTTTATTGATATGTTCCATAGCTGATAACATTTCTAAAGAAACAAACCCAGTATATTTGTAACTTTTATTCAAACAATGCTACTTATATCAAGCTAGGGGTTGGATGTAATCGGTAGTTGAATGCACAAACCATCCTGAATTTTATATACCCGTATGGAGATCTACTCAAGACTCCCATCAAATCTAACTTTCCAAAATTTGTTTTCATTCTGAGACAGAAAAAAACAGAAGTTTCCTGTGGAAGAAAAGATCTTAAAAAAAAAGAAGTAATTTAATTGTACATAATCAGGATGCTTTTTACCAACTTTGGCCTTCTTATGTTATATTGTAATTTATAATATAAAACAAAATTTTAAACAAAAATAATTTTGAAATAAAAATCAAAATGTTTCATTCTGATAATGCTGAAATGCTCTTTATCCAAAATATTTTTAAATTAATTTTTGCCAACATCTACATGTTCTGGAGGCAGAAAGTTAAGATTTCTACAACATGATATTTCCCAACAGAAATATATTGTGATGGAAATTTTTAATCAGCTGTACCCACACAGGTGAGAAACACCATGACAAGATTTTTCTACGTTTGGTTCCTGGCCCTGTGCGAACCCACCTGCACCTAAGAAACAAATTTAGGAAGGGAAAATACTCTAGAAATCCAACACTATTCCAACAGACTGTATCATGGCACTTTTAATATGAATGACAATCCCTATAGTTGATTCATAGTGACTTAACTGTTACATCGGCACAACCTGCACCTGGGCTGAAATAGGCACAAGACGACGGATGAAAAATTTCTACATGACTGTAGATGAGAAATCAGCAACCACAAATAAACACATATCAAACAACACATTCCAGTGACACATGGCATAGTCCTGTACTGGGTGGGTCTCCATGAGGGTCAGTGGAGGTTCTAAACACAGAGTACTTCCAAGAGCAAGCCTTCTAGACAGCAAAATAAATATTTGCTAAAGCCAAACTATTTCCTAAATTCACTGCGCTCCCTTGGGATGGTTGTATAGGGGTCACTTTCTGAGCACTGGTAAGCTCAGAGACTGCTCTCTGCTGCTCCAGCCCAGAGCAAGCAGGAACACAACCTTGCCCCCACTGAACCAGACCACAGAGCAGGGGAAATGTCAGGAAGGGAGGGAAGAGGTTCTATTGAATGCTAACAGAGCACATTTCATTCTCCTAGGGTATGTCTACACTACCCCGCTAGTTCGAACTAGCGGGGTAGTGTAGACATACCCTAAGGGCAAATGAAGCCCGGGATTTGAATTTCCCGGGCTTCATTTGCATAAGCCGGGCGC